GGGGTGGCTTGCGGCCCCCTCCTCGTCTCCGTGCTGCGGGGCTCTGCCCCTGACGCCCCGTGTGTGTGCTCCCACGGCAGAGCGTGGACAGGCCCCGGGACTGGTACCGCAGCATGTTCCAGCAGATCCACCGCAAGCTCCCAGGTAAGGGCACTTCCTCCCTCCACTCCCCTTGGTGCAGGGACTGCCTGGGCCCCCCACCTCTTGCGCCCTCCCATGGGGCATGTAACTGTGTCATCCTCCCCTACGCATGGGTCTGTCCTCCGCATGGGACAAAAGTCCCTGCCGCTCCCTGTCCCCGTGCCGGTCCCTGGCTACATCCCTGCCGCTCCCTGTCCCCGTGCCGGTCCCTGGCTACATCCCTGCCGCTCCCTGTCCCCGTGCCGGTCCCTGGCTACATCCCTGCCGCTCCCTGTCCCCGTGCCGGTCCCTGGCTACATCCCTGCCGCTCCCTGTCCCCGTGCCGGTCCCTGGCTACATCCCTGCCGCTCCCTGTCCCCGTGCCGGTCCCTGGCTACATCCCTGCCGCTCCCTGTCCCCGTGCCGGTCCCTGGCTACATCCCTGCCGCTCCCTGTCCCTGTGTCGGTCCCTGGCCACATCCCTGCTGCTCCCTGGGCTAGACCAGGCATTTCCTGCTCCCCCGCGCCCCCTGTGTCCTGCTTGCTGGGTTGGGGGAGGGAGCCCATGTCCTAGCAGACAAGGCAGAGAAAGTTGCAAGCTGGGGGGCTGATTTCGGCCCCCCCAGCATGGGCCACACCGGACGTTAGCTCACCCCAATCTCCCTCCTCTTCCAGAACCGCAGCTGGACTGGGATTTCCACCGCCGCACGGGTAAGCAGCGCAGCCCGCTCGCTGGGGTGGGAGGTGCCCTTGAACAACAGGACTGAGAGCAGGGCCCCGCACCCCCAGGGTCTTCTCACCCTTTTCTGCATAGAGAAGGGCTTGGGATCATAGGGGCCGCAGCTCCTCTCTCCAGCCCCTGCCCCCTTGTTAATAGGGGGAAAGATTTGGGGTGTCCATCGAGACCCCCTGCAGTAGCTCCTGCCCTGGTGTTCAGAGGGAGCACGGGGGGGGGAGTTCACTGGGGAAGGAGCCCAGGACGCCCCTCACTTGCTCCCTGCAGCCCAGAGAGTGCTGGGCTCTCCCCTGGGGGGGGCGGGGGATGCTGGGGGCTGGAGTGGTGCCCTGCCGGAGCACACAGGCCCTTGCCTGACCCTCTGGGAGTCGGCTCCGCCCCCTTTCCGCAGGGGGCACTGACCCACTTGTCTCCCCCAGAGCCACCAACAGGTCTCGCGCCCCTTGACTCTGCTTGCCTGCGCCGTGGGCTGGGGGGTGGGAGCACGGGGAGGGAGGACCCGCAAGCCGGAGGCGGGGAGGGGAAGAGCCAGGCCTGAGCGCCATGGGGGGAAAGGAAGAGCGACAACATTGCAGCTCCAGAGCTGGCCTCAGGCCCCTGCGCCCCCCGGGCCGGCCCCCCCCCCCCAAGACTTAGCCCCTCCGGCCTCCCTGCCTGACTGGAAAGAGCCATTGGTACTTAGTCCACCTCTCTCAGCATCCGCCCCCTGGGCCTGTCTGAGCCTGTAACTCCCGCTCAGATGCACCGGGCCAGACCAATGGTGCCTCTAGGGTAGTACCTCTGCCCCGGGATGGACCACTGGCCCAGCTAGTCCTGGCCGCACCAGACCAAATAACTGTCTAGGGGCTCAGCAGTCTAACCTGGTCAAGCCAGCTATCCTGGCTCTGACCGTGGCCAGCACACGATGGTTTAGAGTTGATTGCTGGGGTATCCCACTGTACATTACCCCACATCCAGCTTGTACCCTGAAGGATGAGAACTGAGGGCCTTTCTCATCTGAGCCTAGCTAGGGGGGCAGGGGCAGGCTCTTCACAGAAAGCGACCAATACAAATTTCAAACTACTGGCCTCAGCAGCAACGTCCTGCGGCGGTGAGTTCCACTGGATAACGGCACTGTGTGGAAGCAATCCCTGCCCCCCATCCACACCAGCTTTTCCTGTTCTTTGGGCCCAGGTGGGTGTCCCTGCAGTACAGGCCAGGCGGGGCTGCTCCTCTTCCATAGAAACCTTCCCCCAGGTTGGAAAATGAAGTTTGTTGGAGCCTTTTCCCCCTGCTGCTGGTGACTGCCACAAGCCGGGTCTGTCTGGGGCCCTGGCAGCAGCGGGTTCCCATCCCTTGTTAAGCAGCAGCCACAGTAGGGGGCGCTGTCCCCTGGGTAAGCACTGGCCCAGCGCAGCACTAGGGGGCCGTGCTATCGGGAGGGGGGTGGGTGGCACAGTAGGGGGCACTGTCCCCTGGGTAAGCACTGGCCCAGCGCAGCACTAGGGGGCCGTGCTATCGGGAGGGGGGTGGGTGGCACAGTAGGGGGCACTGTCCCCTGGGTAAGCACTGGCCCAGCGCAGCACTAGGGGGCCGTGCTATCGGGAGGGGGGTGGGTGGCACAGTAGGGGGCACTGTCCCCTGGGTAAGCACTGGCCCAGCGCAGCACTAGGGGGCCGTGCTATCGGGAGGGGGGTGGGTGGCACAGTAGGGGGCACTGTCCCCTGGGTAAGCACTGGCCCAGCGCAGCACTAGGGGGCCGTGCTATCGGGAGGGGGGTGGGTGGCACAGTAGGGGGCACTGTCCCCTGGGTAAGCACTGGCCCAGCGCAGCACTAGGGGGCCGTGCTATCGGGAGGGGGGTGGGTGGCACAGTAGGGGGCACTGTCCCCTGGGTAAGCACTGGCCCAGCGCAGCACTAGGGGGCCGTGCTATCGGGAGGGGGGTGGGTGGCACAGTAGGGGGCACTGTCCCCTGGGTAAGCACTGGCCCAGCGCAGCACTAGGGGGCCGTGCTATCGGGAGGGGGGTGGGTGGCACAGTAGGGGGCACTGTCCCCTGGGTAAGCACTGGCCCAGCGCAGCACTAGGGGGCCGTGCTATCGGGAGGGGGGTGGGTGGCACAGTAGGGGGCACTGTCCCCTGGGTAAGCACTGGCCCAGCGCAGCACTAGGGGGCCGTGCTATCGGGAGGGGGGTGGGTGGCACAGTAGGGGGCACTGTCCCCTGGGTAAGCACTGGCCCAGCGCAGCACTAGGGGGCCGTGCTATCGGGAGGGGGGTGGGTGGCACAGTAGGGGGCACTGTCCCCTGGGTAAGCACTGGCCCAGCGCAGCACTAGGGGGCCGTGCTATCGGGAGGGGGGTGGGTGGCACAGTAGGGGGCACTGTCCCCTGGGTAAGCACTGGCCCAGCGCAGCACTAGGGGGCCCCATGCTGCAGGGAGATGTGGGGCTCCAGGCCATGTGCCCCTCTGTGTCGCCTGCGATCGGGGGGGGAGGGGGGCAGGGAGCGTGAGGCCCTGCCGTGAGAGGGGCAAAGGGAGTAGCGGTGCCAGGGGCGAGCTGGTCCTTGGCAAGCACGTTGGGATGCCCGCGGGGGCTGGCAGCAGGGTAGAGCTGCATTCACCCCACTCCTCTTCCCTGCAGGGGGGGCCAGCAGGCAGCCGCCGATGCAGCCCAGGAGCCCAGGAGCATTTTCGACTACGAACCCGGGAAATCGTCCGTCCTCGACCATCCCAACCCGGTAGGGAGCCTTCCCTGCCCTGGCCCTGCTCTGGCAGGCGCCCTTGGCACTGATGTGCATCCGCACAGCTTAGCTCACGTCATCTGGGCAGCTTGCGGGAGGGGGCATCTCCCGGGGGGTCGGCACTAACGGGGGACGGGCCGAGACACTGGGGTGCAGGAAGCGAAGCTCTGGCAGCTCTAACTCCAGTGGAGTCTCCCGCCTGTATTTATCTCTGGGGATCTGTCCTGGGGCAGCCCCTCCTGCCCGGGGGGGTCGGCCCCGGAGCTGTCCACCAGCTGCTGTTTGCTCATCCCCCCTGCCCTCTGCCTCCGTGGCACGTGGTGGGCAGGCTGCTACAATGTGTGTATGTGGGGGGGGGTTACAGCGTGGCACGGCATGGTGTGCACATGTGCACGAGGGATGCTAGCGTGTGCGTGTCTGCATGAGGCGGCTGGTGGCGCTATGCCGTGGGCTCGCGTGTCACGTGTGCGGGCGTGGGAGGCTCGGGGAGACCCTGCCACGTGCCTGGCTGCTGTGCAGGGCGAGGCTGGGCCCATCTGGCTGGCAGGGGCCGGGCCAAGGGATGTGCTAGTGTGGCTCTGTCCTGACTCCAGGCTGCTGAGCCCCGCTCGGGAAGTGGAGAGAGCTGGTACCAGTTTCTGAAGG